ATTCACTCTAAACGGTATCTTCCTGAGACCCTTTCTTCTCTGAAATCTTTCTTGATGCCGCAATGTTTTTATGTTTCTAATGGCTAGGCCACATGATTTTTTTGTAGCCCTTTTTGTTTTCTATGAAAGAAAGAAAAATGTCTTGAACTCAAGTGATCAAGATGAGCAGTTCAAAACCCATATATCGACCTCGAAGGGATCAAAAAGACCGCCTCATTGTCACATGTTTATACAAACCACCATTACTATTTAGTAACAAATGTATCCTAGAGGAACTACAGTTGTCTAAATAAATAAAAAGTGTATTTGTTGGATTTTTACCTATACAAAAAAATAATATAATAAATATACATTTGACTTTTTATTCGTATATAAGTAATCTACTTGTATATCCACTCATTAGCACGACCACCAGACTCGTCCATGTCGATAAAAATACTGACTGCCTGCGAAGTTTCAATAACAACCAACGATAAAGTTTAGTAAGAAAATACAAATCTATCAAAACACTGCCATAAGAGACAATTGGGCACGGAACGAGCTAATGAAGTGAATTTCATTATTTCTAAAGATCAAGTTTGTTAGGTAGGCTTGACTCAATTGGTGATCATAATTCTGTTTTGTTTCTCATGTTCAACAATTGTGAGTATAAGAATCAAATCATCGACCTTTTAGGTAATAATAGGTATTTTATCCATTCGACTATACTTAGATTAGTCGGGAAGCAAATTTATAAAGAACTATGGAAATCTTTTCTACACTCTAGTACCCCATTTTTTCCGTTTCCTATCTAAGGCTTTCCCCTTCAACCTGTCCTCGCCCATCAGCCTTTGTTCATAATTCCAGTGGGGATTGCATGAAAGACATACAACAAAAAAGAGCCGACTTCCCAGTAATCTTACCTTTCCTATCCGGGGTCTGTCTTTAGTTTTGTCTAAGCTGTTTCGAATATGGGCAACGGCTCCCCAGCATTTTAACGTATTAGCCACACCATCAAGCCGCAATAGGTACTCTTCCTCGGACAATGGAAATGATTTCTACCAAATTGAGAAATATTCAACATTTTAAAGTAGAAATAATCTCTCCAAATTTGAAGTCAATTATGCTCTGTGAACTGATCATTTGCCTTCATGCACAGTCCAAAACTAATAGTTATAAGATCATCAAAATATGTTGAGCAGGAAGAAAAATTAAAAAAAGAAATAGCCTATACATATATTCATCACCTACCTTTATATCTCCATTTCATAGCAATACGTTTGATTTTATAATTATTTTCTAAATAACCTTTCTATTCTGTAGATTATTTATTTGCAAGTCATGTTTGGTTTCATTATCAGTAATTAATTGACTTCTTAACTTTTAGTGATCTTATCAGAGCTTGCGTTTGGTTTTTATTGCTTTGAAAATGTCCATATTAATTTTGTGCAGCAGCTACTAGTTCTTAAAATCCAGAGGTTCCCTTTTCTCCTTTCCAGTAGATAGGCCAATTTTGAGAAAAATTGGTTACTATGTGAGTATAATACTCCTACCATGTATTGCGTATCATCTCGGCATCCTTCTAAAAACACCAATATTAAAAAAATTATTTATAAAGACAAAACCATAGTGTGAACAAAGGGAGTATGTTATTCCCATAGTACTCGAAATTTTCCTACCAATTTCCTAATAATTCATATTAGTTCAATTGTGAGGTTAGAATTAATAGTCCATTTAGGAAAATGCTCTTCATCAGCTTTCAGATGTTATAATTCATAGACAGGTTCCCCTAATTTTGAAAAGGATCTCAGTTGATCAAAGATTTTAGTCTAAAAGTAGCAGAGGAGACTGGATTCTTGCGTACCTGCTCTCTGTATTTCCACATGACATTTAAAGCAAGAAGATTTCGTCCCATGAACTCCTAAATTATGACAGAAACAAGAAAAGAAATCCATAATTTAGTTTGAATTATGAACAGACCATAGTGACTATATGACCAGGGTATTAAATTTCTATTGACATGTAGATATTTCTACATATTCATGGGTTCGATATCCACACAAAGGGTAAATCGACATTTCTATTATATCGTGAAAGAATTGATGAACATAAATTAAAAAAAGTGTCACTGACAGTAATATAATATAAATAATAAGCATTTTAATTATTAATGAAGTGTAAAATACTTGCTTATTAATTTAAATACTTTTGAAAATATTTCTGTTTTTATTATGTTTCAAGAAATATATATTGACATTGATATCATCATTTTATTGATATTTTCCTTGACATTTCCATATAAGTTTAAGAACTTTTGTGAAAAGTTAAGAACTTATCATATGTTTTGTTTTACAGTTCAATGACCTATAAGACATAATTTTAGAAGTTCAAAGACTCATTGAACTGTCTAAAATTGAAAAACTTATTTAACACAAACCTACATTTGAACTTGTAATTGAATCGAAGAATAGTAAGAAGTTTAGAAATCGAAGATGAATGAATACCTTCTTTATCAGTTGAACATCATAAGACTTGCCGTACTTATTTCTGATAATAGTAGCTAAGTCTATCCCACTAAACCTGGAATCATCCGTCCCAACCGATCTTTCCAAGTTTTCCCTAAGCATTTCGAAGTTCATCTGAAAGAACATAAATTACTAAAATGAGTCTCCACAATAAGAAATGATGCCATGATGGTGCAAAATTACATTTTAAATCAATTTATTTTCTCTTGCAAGTCATCAGACATATCACTTATCAACGTACTACACATCGTGATTACTATAAAATTTATTAGAATCCAAATCTAAAGGTCTATAATTTCTGATTTCAACTTCATGCAAGTCTCAAGTAGTAGTCTATAATTGAGTTTTTCTTTCTTTTGAATCCAAACTATGTGGGATTGAGTACTAACCCCTCCATTTTCAGGTTTGGGATTCTCACTGTCGTTAATCTCACGATCGGACTCATCAGGATCCATGGCACCGTCGACGGAACCTGCAAGGACAGGTCTAATTTGGCGTCCAGTTCGTCGGCGACAGTAAGCAACATGATTCCCATGGTGAGTGCTTGTTTCTCTGGAAGGAAGAAATGGACAACAATACTCCGAATATGAATGCGTAACTCTAGAAATCTTTGCTCTACCTAGATGCTCCTGAATCCCAATCCCAGGCGACCAATTACTCTGGTGACCGAACGTTACGCTCGTCATAATCTGCAAGAACAGTCGATCGGTTTCACTCGACAAACTAGGGCAACTGAAATCCGGAAGTAGAGAAGTAGAATATCGGTGTTTGTTTCAACGGAAGAATTGTACATAAACATACCTTGAGGATAATCGGAGGATTGAGAGCCGAATCGGAAGCAGAGAATGAAGACTCTGAGTGAGGATTATTAAAGGAGGTGGTTTCGAATTTGTTTAATCGATTCACTTGGAGATAAATTTGAACCACTTGTTTGGTTTGCAATTGTAGACCCTCACGCATGCTTTTCTATTTCTTGCGAAGAAATGAGTGGCCCAAATATGTGGGAAGAGAATTCAAGGAACAAAATCTTGTACTCCTACGTTACTCCCATTCTCCTTTTCTCCATGTGAAATACGGATTTGATTCGTGAGTTTCTAATACATGTAAATTTTCGATGTCTAACCGGATTCATTTGGTTTTAAATTTTGTTTAAAAGTCATTAGGTTGAAAAATCTTTTGGATCTAACCTAAAAAATTTTAGTTCGTTCGCCAGATGACATGAATAATTCGAATAAAGCTTATAAGATAAGGTTCTTTTTTTTTTAATTATTTAAAAATATTATATTATTTAAGTGTTACATTATTAATCATAAAATTCAAATCTCAAATATCTTAAAACATAAGTGATATATTATGGTAAGATTTTGTCGGACTGTAACCCCAATTTCTAATAGAAATAAAAAACGAGAACCAAATTTCATGTTTTTTTGGGTTTATGAATGATGCGATACAAATCAAACATTTTTAATTAAACATAATATAAGTCGAAATTTCTATCATTTATTTTACCAAACGTGTTACACGGTGGATGTGTAAGAAATTGTTTTGTGGATTTTTAATTCTAATTTTTCTAAGGTTAAGTTGACCTAATTTTTTTTTGTTATTATATTTATTAGTTTGAGTGTAGCGTAGAGGGCATGCAAATGAGTGATCAACGGATGGTTGTGACTTATTTTTTTTTTTTAAAAGATTGTTTCATTGATATTATATGAGGATGACCGATTTGAAATATTATATAATAGATTACTTTCTTTATAATTTAAAAAATAAATAAAAGACATCAAATTTAAAATTTTTGAAGTTTTAATAAATAAATAAAAGTTTAAAGGTATTTTTAATAATTATTTTTAAAATTTAAAAGTATTATTAAAATGGTTGGAAGTTTTTTTTTTTTTTTTTTTTTTTTTTTTTTTTTTTTTTTTTTTTTTT